CAATAGCTGCCTTCTCAGTTTCAAACTTTTGTGGTTTCTCTTGAGGAATAGCTTGGTCTTCAAGAAAATTCTCGCTCTTGTTTGATGACTGCTCTGGTATTGAAGTGTCTATAGTAGTAGTACAAGGATAATTTGCAAATTTCGTCTCTGGCCCAGCTTCAGGCAGCTGAGATGCTTCATCTACTGAATTGACAGCTTGGATGTCTTTACTTTTACTGGACCTTCCAGCTGCATTTCGAAGAGCTCGTTCACTGGACATATAATTGGGCAGCAGCTCAGGTTCAACCCCAGCAAGCCGTTTTGAAGATCGATGAGGCAACTTAAGTTCTTTATTTTTCTTGGATTTGTTAACCCTTGTATTTCTGTTGAAGCTCCTTTCCATCTCACTTTCAAGTGAGTTCTCTTTCTGCAGCACATCAGCTGCAGGTTTCGGAATAGGCTCATTGTCCACAGTATCAGCTATTGGCAATTCCCCCGTAAGCGTTTTGAATGCAAATTCTAGGCATGGGTCTGAGCCGAACAGAAGGGAGAACTCTGGTTCTGGCTTCTCAGAATCCATTCTCTCACTTTCCAGCTTTTGTTGTTGCTCTTTAGGAACCATTTGGTCATTAAGTGGCATCCTGCCCTTGTTCAATGCCTCCTCATGTGATGTAGATTTTATGTCAGTTAAAGTATGATGTGCAACCACTACTTCTGATGCAGCCCCAACCTGCTGATGTGCATCTGAAGCCAAAACTGCATCTTGACTGCCATCACTTTTACTACACTTTCTTACAACTTGAAGAGCTTGTTCACTGGAAACCGAGTTAGCTACCTGCTCTGGTTCAAGCCCAGCAAGTCGTTTTGAAGACCGGCGAGGCAAGTTCAGCTTTTCCTTGCTTTTTGATTTCCTCGAGCCTGTTTGGGTTATTCTGACATTGCCTTTTTCCATCACAATCTTACATGAATTATTCTCATTCAGGGTGTCAGCAGCAGGAGTCAAAACAGGCTCATTTCCAGCCAAAATTATTTTCCCTGGATCTGTCGCAGAACGTTCAACTTTGAGCAATGACCTTTTGCCTTCATGTATGTCAGCAACTTCAGGTTTTGGCAGTGATGACCTGATTGGAGGACAATCTTCCATAGTTTTGGGACATTCTTCAACTATATCCTCTGGTAAATGCTTCTCCTGGACAACATCAGCTGTCAAAGCAACAGCAACTCCACTTTCAGTGGGTACCCTCTTGTCTTGCAAGTTGGAGCTTTCAGTTTCTGGTAGTTCTAAGCCGCTCATTTCAGAACTACCTTTATCTGCAGTGGAAGTTCAACAATGGGAACAATGCAGTTAGATACCACGGGATTTCATTTCCCTTTATAACTTGGACCAAATCCAATATACGTCCTCAAGTTAGAGAATCATTCATCATGATGTCATCTATTGATCTCTCACCTTCAAAATGCTGTTGCCTGGTGACAGGGTGCTTAAATTTTTGCCTTTTGGTTGCAGATGATGGCTAAAATAACAGCAAACGAAGAATGATCAGAATAATGAATTCATCCTTTAAATACCAAGTTCACATATATAATAAAAAACGGATAAAATCATAAAAATTGGCTGCTAAGAATACTGCCATCCATCCGGTCATAGTTATAAACTTATAATGGGGTATCAATTTTGACTTGAAGTTCCTTGGTTTCATATTTGTATTCATTAAAGAGAAATTACTGAATAACTTTTAACCCTTTTAGAGATGGGAAACAGAAGAGGAAATAAAAAGGGTGAAAGGTAATCCATCAGCCTTATTTACGGATGGGGAAATTCTACCATTAGCTAAAATGGGGAGCACCAAGAACATCGAAGAATGTTTCGACAGAAAAAACATTGAAGAGAAAAATCAAGAAAAACAATAACAACATTCAAAATGGAAACCCCACAATGCAAGAAACTTGTCACTGCTACATAAGTGCAAGAGTTGTAATTCTTTCTGCGACTGACAGATGCAATTTGTTTATGAATTCAGCACCACTACGCTATGCAACTAAAAAGTATCAGAGCAATACATAGAACACATTAGTTAGCCCAAATTTCACCAAGTCCTCTCTGCTTTAGTTTGTAACATATTTCAGTCAAGTTTTCAAAGTGTTTCAAAATAGAGTGAAATAAAGAATATCACTTGAAACTTCATTACGTTTTTCCCATGCTAGTTTATACACCACAGCTTATGTGGCATAGTCAATTGTCATTCAAGTAACCATGGGTTAATATACAAAAATTTTTAAGGGATACGCCAATACTTATTCTGAATTTTTACATGGTACGATTTCCAAACTGAAATCATCAAGAAAACCATTAAAGAAAAATTGTTGGTAATTGTACTAGCAAACAATCATATACGAACCCAAGTGAGCATTGATGACGAAAATAAGAAGCATGAACTTGCACTTACTGTAATTTTGTGACTTTCATCATTAATCAACGTCAGCTCATTGGTGCACTTATTCTTGGGTTTAAAAGCATGTCTGCTTATCTCTCCAGTCTCTAAATAATGCATAACAGCATTTTTGGAGCGGAATACATATCCACTGACTGGATCTGTGTAATACTGTAAAAAGGTGGGAGCCACTAAAAATCAACATAAAATCTTTAAGTACAGAACTTATTGGAATAAACAACAATTAGTTGGAATTATTCCTAAAGCAGGGCTGTGCATGGAAGGCACGCATACACATGTGCATGTGTGGAGAGAGATAGAGAGCCTGGGGTTGGGAGCAGAACTGACATAAACTGGAATAAGTATCGGAGAAACTGATTTTATACCGGGTCTCTTCTAAGTCGATTTGCAACCCTTTTAACTTTGATCTCTTTTGTCCACCCTGATGGTAAATCCTCCACATCATGCTTCTCAACATCAACCTAAATTATGCATCAACAATTAGCATCAGGCCTGATTAGACAAGTTAAGAAATGAAACATGATAATAGGAAAAAAGTTGAAAATGGTAAACTTTGATCCTTTAGAACATTACATCACAAAAGGTGCTAAGTGTTCTCTACTAGATTGTAGTTAGATTATGATTTCTTCTGGATTCAAGATTTCAGTTCATGAATTGCAACGTTTCTCTAAATGAGAAAATATTTTAAAGCATGAATCGCATAGTAAAACATTTTGATGCACCTACCGCTGAAGATTTTGTTTTGAAGCATTTTTAGTATCCTTGTCCCCATCCAAACAATTAACAAAAAGGAATTAAAGAATGAGAATATCAAAGGGAACAAACTTTGTTTGCACTCTGCAAGGGCGCAACAGTCTTCTTTTTTATCATGCATCTCTTGTGGTTTACAGTTTTGAGATTTCTGGACTTGCAGCTCTTGCGCTTTACAGTTTTGAGATACCGAAACACCTCTGGCTTGGAATAGAAACTACTTTCTGTTGAGGGATCAATGTAACACTGCAATAGGAATACAATTATATAAGAAATAAAGAGAAATGTGTATTGCTGGAGTCAACACATACTGAGAAAGATCCCTGAAAGTTTCTTCACAATCCATTATCAACATCAACAGTAAAGTTAAAGGAGTAATTCTGTAACATCAGATAGACCCGTTCATTTCCTTCTTGATATGAAAGACCAAAAAGTAGTTACAGTTATGGTTGAAGAAAGAAGATACTACAGTTTATTGTTGGAATAATTATGCCAGACATGGCTAAGAAACAAACAATTGCTAGAATTCTATCGTACTAAAATCTTGGCTAAGGATTTAATGAACTGTTCCCACTAAAGACAAGAGTCGCACCATACCTGACCAAGTTCAGTAATAAATCTTAGATGAAAAATCAATTTCAAAAGGGTTAAACGCCTAGAATCCTTTCAAAACCACTTAAACTGTCTTTTTAAACTCATTTCTAACCTATGCCATGAAAGGAATAAATCATTACTTGGTTAAAGTAAAAGTTTATCATTATATCAAATATAATGTTACCCATATATTGATTAAAGAAACTATAGCTTGTTATACGGCCAACCATGCCAGCATACTCTATGGGAAAATTTAGGACGGTACATATTTGATATATATTTTCCAATTAAATTGCAATGAGTAATTAATACAGTCGTAAATATTGCGCGATGACATATCGCAGATGCATGTCAAGGTGCCAGGCCAACCATGCATTTCGGAATACGAGCTAAATCTCAATTATTAACAACCAAGGAGTTCCTTGTAAAATTAAAAAGGAGGCAACCACTAGTGATGAATTTATAACAAAAGGGAAAAAAAGGTGCCGAGTATAAATTCAAAAGATGACAACAGAAATATACCAAAACTATTATTCAAAAAGCACACAAAAGATACCTTGTATTCTTTTCCAACATGCACACCAGTCTTTCGCGTTCTCACCTCCACTTTCCAACCCTTGGGTAACCATTCAGGATATTCCGTTGTGTTCACTACAAGCTGTCGATCACAAACAAGACCCAATATATAGAAGAATCTTGAAAATGGTTTCGACAAAGCCCAAAAATTAAAGACTCACTTGAGAAGGAATTTCTTCTGAGTGGTGTTGGTTGTGCAGAGTAGTTGGCTGAGGATTTCCACCGTTGGTGCTTGCCATTTTGATATGGCACATAACATCATCCTTAGAAAAGAAGTTTTTCCCAGTTTCCAAATTGGTATAAAACTGCAAATGCGAACGTGATTATGAGCTTAGTGATAGCACCATGACAGGATATTTTGATTCTGAACTATGTTCACTAATATATTTCCTGTTTTAATACACATCGACAGTAATTATTTATTCTGTTTCCAAGTTGACATACTTTTCTAACTGTATTGCTCAATTAGGTCACTGGAAAGGAAAAGGAAAAGGTTAAAAATTGTTCCTCGAACATAGTGATAAGATTTCCATTTTGGTTCAGATTCCAACATTTCTCTCAGAACGGTCATTTTGCACCTGCTTCCAGTTCAAGAATTATGTCACACATCAACAGAGGAAATCATAAAAGTGAGTTTAGTGAGTCACAACTCATGCTCACATCTAAACCAACTCTATACTGTCATTTATGTGCAACAATAAGTCAATAACACCTCATGCACCACCTACTGTCTAAATCTTATTATTAAACTTATGCAGAGAGAAAGACATACAGATTCCAAAATCACCAATACAACAAAAGCTTCCTTTACGAACTAGATTATTGTCGTGAAGCCAATAAACTCCTAAAACAGAATGCATTTTAAGTCAATTTCACTTATTCCAAAACAGAAACCTTCTGAAACTCCTCAAAATGCAAAATTTATTAACTACAAAGCAATGCAATCATGCAACAACACCAGCACGCAACCCCTTTCCTCAACCAAGCCCACATTTCACACACACACAGAAACACTCACATATCACCAGCATCATCAAGGGCAAGTGAATCTAACATGCAACTAGAATATAAGACTTGCATGAAGGCGCTAATCAGAGCACCATGGGCCAAATTAACACAACAAAAACCACAAGCACTCCCATCATGGTGGCTCAGTCAGCAGTCAGTTACTCAACAACAACCACGAGCTAACATAACTGAACCAATTGAATAACCAAATAACCCAAAACCAAGACTGAGTGCTAGTAAACGAAACCCTAGAAGGCAGAAGCACGAAAGAGAAGAAAATGTTACCTCAATTTTGCGACCAGTCTTCTGCACTCTAAATTGGACGGCCCAGCCGGCTGGGAGCCAGTCCGGCGAGCTCTTGGCGACCATTTGGCTGGAATATGAAGCTTCCGGTGAGGAATCGCCGGAATCTTAGAGGTGTTCGGCGATCAAAGTTTGGACCTTTGAGGCTCTCTGTGTTGTGTTTGGTTTGTCTTGCCTTGCTTTCTCTCACTAACAAGTAAACGGACGTGAAAGGTAAATGAGGAGTAACACATATATTAGTGCTTGTGGATTGGACCGGAGTCAATCTGGGCACACGTGTTCGTGAACCATAAATCTGTCGCTTTCTCTCTCTCTTCAGTCTTTGGGTTGGTCCAAGCTTAGCTTGCTAGATTAGGACGATACATTCGAGTTTCCAAAATACAATATTGTTTGTGTGTCCAAGACGAGCCATTGCTTTTATGACTCTACACTTTTAGTAGCGGTAATAAAACCCAAAAAAAATTTATATAAAAAGCACCCATGGGTTGGTTTTGGATTTGCAGTCTTGGATGACGTGGTGCTCTCTGTGTTCGACTTTGGGGGTGCTGCAAAAAAGGCTAGAGAAAGGTTCGAGTCCCACTCACTCCACAAAAATGTCATAGTTGTTAATGAAGTTTGTTTGGTTGGATTTTCACCAAAAAACAAAGAAGTTTGATTGGTTGGACGACTGGAGGATGAATTGTAACATTAGCCGATATCTACCTTAGACTAATCGTTGCACGAGTTGTGAAGACTGTTAGTGTGATGAAGGTTTGCCTTGTGTTTCTTAGGCGTACACAACTTCGAAGTTGCTGGAAGGTGCAAAGTAGGAGGGGAGAATTTATCCTCTATAGCAAAAGTAGAAACCCTCACATAAAGGGGAAAAACATTAGTTGCATGTAAAGGCACATATAAAAAAATAAGAAGATAAGAAGATTGTAGCTCAAGTAATTAAAAGTAGTTATCATTAGACAGAAGATTTTATGTTCGATTCCTTTCTAACTTATATCATTTATAGAAAAAAAAAATTGGGGATGATATTTAACATAAAACTATATGGTTGGTGGCGGCATGTGTGTGTACAGAAGAAACATATACTTTTAAGCTTGTTATTTTTAGGATAAGAGTTCATTAAAATGAATTAAATTTTATTGCTAAAAAAATGAATTAAATTAGTTTATTATTCAGACAAAATAGATTGAATTTCGAACACCCATATTTGGGCTACTAAAGTTGTAAATGCATGCTAGGCCCATTATCAAATCTTAACCCAGTTCAGTTGGCCCACTATTTCTTTTTCTTTTTCTTTTTCTTTTTTCTTTTTCCGGTGCCTTATTGTTTTACTATTTAAACAAAGTGGTGGGGTATTGCAGGGGTTTTTATTCTCTCACGCCCAACAAACAACGAACGAACGAACGAACGAACGAACGCTACTCTCTCAGCCTCCGATCGTCGATCTTCGACTCTCTCTCTCTCTCTTATCGCAGCCAAGAGCAACGCCATCGCGGTAAACGTGAGTGTGAAATTTCCATTTGTTTAATTTCTCATGAATCACTTACTGGGAATTGTGCATAATCCAAGAAATTTCAATTGGATTAGGTCTGCGTATGTTCATGGAAACGGGAGAATTTTCTGACAAACTAGGTGTAGAATTGTAGCAACTTTTTATCTACTTGGAGCTTAATCGCCCTCTAGATTTGAGCGGGGATGAAAGATTGGAAGTTTCTGATAAAAGCATGTTTACTAGCTTAAACTGATTAAATAAAGAGTTCCCAATTTGAAATCTTGTAGGAACTTGATCTTGCAGCAGTTTTTTATTTGTTTTTCCGTATTGGTTGATAGATATGATGAATTCTAAGTAGACGTTGTGATGCGGACATCCATGACAAACCTTTTAAGGTTTATCAACGAAGGGGGAAGCGATCAACCAATCCAACATTATCGTTATGGTTGGGTTGAAATTTTAGTTTTCCAGATTTCAATAGGTTTTATTTTCCAAGTTTCGGTAGGATTTCTAGTTCCCTAATTTATCTGGGTTAGAATTTTGTCTCTAGGTTTTGGTTTGCTATAAATACCCCTCCCATGTAATCCATTATGCAAAGTTGAGTTATTGAGTAAAGTTTATATTCTAGAGATTGGAGAATTCTGGGCCAAGGTCTGGTGTGAAGCCACATGAGTGATTAGACCTATTTTATTGTTCTATTTTCTGTTTTCCATTGTTTCGCTACCTCTAATCTACCTAAATCTATAATTCACCCATATCCTACATCACATTGTTAATTGCAGATGTCACTAAAAGAAAGCTTAGAAAGATTTAAGAAGCAGCAAGAGAAGTGCCAGACAACCCTTTCCAGCATTGCCTCTACCAAGGCCGCGGCAGCTCCGAGACCCGCTCCTGCAGCAGCTAGGGCTCCTCCTCCAGCTGTCAAATTTTCAAATGATACAGAGAGACTCCAACACATTAATAGCATCCGGAAAGGCCCTGTTGGAGCTCAGATCAAGCGTGTTATAGACCTGCTGTTGGAGGTTCAAACTAAACCCACATTTCCCATTCCTTCCTTGATGTAAATTATTATAATATTATTTTATCAGTCACAATGGTTCATAATTAAGTGGTGTGTGCACTTTAAAGCCTGAAAGGAAATGACTTTGAGGTCCCATAGTTGTAAACTTGTGTTTGTTTTGTGTTGGAGATATACACAGCAAGGAAAATTGTAGATGTATTTTTATATACAGATGCAAGTTGTGTTCATATTTTTATAATGATGTTAAACTCTTAGGTGAATTTATGCTATCCCGCTTTAATAGTTTGGAACCAGTTTTGTGGTTAAATATTTTAGATTCGTGACGGGTTCAATTGGAGTAATCAGAAAGGGGCTAAAAGTGGTAGCAAATCTGGAATTGAGTTGGAGTAGTTTTGTGCTCTCCTGTTAACATCTTTTACTCTCCCTCCCTTCCCCTGCTAACTTTGCTAGGACCTTCCAGTGACTGAATCTCTGTGTTTACATATTTTTGCAGACAAGGCAAGCCTTTACGCCAGAGCAAATTAATGAAGCATGTTATGTTGATGCGAATGCTAACAAAGCTGTCTTTGACAGTCTGAGGAATAACCCAAAAGTTTATTATGATGGGAGGCGCTTCTCCTATAAGGTAACTTTGGATACCTGCATGCTACAGTAGACTAGCAGGTGTTTATCAATTGAAGTATTGATAGCATTTTTGTTTATCACATCCATGAAGGATGTATTTTTACTTGTATTTTTTTATATGTAGTCCAAGCATAATGTGACGGATAAAAACCAGCTTCGTTCTTTAATACGGAAATATCCAGAGGGCATAGCTGTCATTGATCTCAAGGATGCATACCCGAATGTGATGGACGATTTGCAGGTAAATGATTATTAACTAAATAAATTTCTGAATTTCTATCTCTTACAATAAAATATTAATAAGGAAAATTGTTTTTTAGGCTTTGAAAGCTGCAGGTGACATCTGGCTGCTTTCAAACTTTGATTCACAAGAGGATATAGCATATCCAAATGACCCCAGGTTGCCTGCGATGAATGTTGATGATGAGCTTAAGGTGCTCTTTAGGTCGATTGAATTACCTCGTGATATGATTGACATTGAGAAAGAACTCCAGAAGAATGGGATGAAGCCAGCCACGGATACTGCAAAGAGGAGGGCCTTGGCACAGAGTCAAGGCATTCCTAACAAAGCCAAACCCAAGAAGAAGAAGCACGAGATCAGCAAGAGGACAAAGCTTACAAACGCCCATCTTCCGGAGCTATTTTCTAGACCCTAAAAAGTTAGGTGAAGCTGCTATGTGAAAGGTCTGCAAGATGTTATGGATGTAAGCAGATTGTACAAAACATATTGGAAGACAGATAAGATAGCCCAAAAATGTACTTGAAATATCCCCTATGTTTTTTGCTCCGAAATGCCAGTTTGAGGATTGAATTTGTTCTTATCAAATGCTATGATTTAGGAACCTGAAATTTCTACTCCTACGTTTCAGTTAGTTCATACATTTCAGCGTTCAATTTCATGCAAGCCATACAACCAAAAGACTGGAATGTTTTATTATTTTGTTGATATACGATGACATTCAACAACAAAATGTCCATTAGACAAGCTTCCTAAACAAACTCAACCTCCTTCATCAGCTTTCACTAATCAAAGCTGAAGAGCTGACGAGTTATGTCTCTTTGTCCAAGCACAAACTCGGGATTAAAAAATGACTAGGCTAACTTTCATGTCAATTTTTTCAATCGAAATGTTTTTATTGAAATTTCGATAGAGTCTATTGTTTTTATGATAATTCCCAAATTGTAGTAACAAGCATATCAACCAATAAATTAGGTACTAATAACTTAATGACATAAATTTCATTAAAAAAATATTGCTCCAGACCTTGGAAAAGTACTACTGTTTTGGAGAATATTCATATGCTGAGCCGATATTGTGAGATCATTCATTATCAACATGTTTCCTGAGAGGCATGTTCAAGTTTTTTCTGCTCTACTCTTGGATGTTTTAGGTGGCGGTGTTTGTAAAGGACTGCATATCTTTTTGGTGTCTTTTTCTGATTTTTAATTAATTTTTATAATTTTTTTAAAGATAAAAAACAACAAATACAAGAAAGACATGTGGCGGTCTCATAGGGCGACACGTTTCAGGTATACTGAAGACGCGCCTGTCAAAAGCTCATACGTATCAATCACTTTAATTTAATATGAATTTTTCTAAAATTTAACTTCTAAAATTCACAATAAATACATTAAAACTAGAAAAATACACTGAAAATTCCACAAACTCTTTATGACATTCTCTTTGCCCAAAAGCTTCGAAAATCTTATTTTGACTTGAAAAATTGAAAGTGACAACAAAAACTAAAATTTGTCTATAAACAAACCAAAACACTACTTAATGTTTTATAACATAATACTTTTGTTTCCTTGCGCCAATGATTACCATCAACTCAAATATGTGGAATCATGATTTTTTAGACCTCTAAAATTGAAGGCATTGTAGTAAGGAGCGCGTAGTTTTTTCATTGTATTTTCTAATTTTTAATTAATTATTTTTTGAATTTTTTAAGATAAACAACAAAAATGTAAGAAAAGGACATGTGGTGGTGTCGTAGGCAATGGTGGATTCAGGAATTCTTCAGGGAAAGGGTAATATTCGAATGAAGATTTAATTTATTTATTTTTAAACTATAACAGAATAAAATTAAAACAAATAAGGATTTTATGTCTATAGTCTATATGTTATATCTATTAATATGAATAAAATGCATATAACATCATCAATTCATCTAACAAAAAGTTATTATTTATTAATTTAATAAAAATGCATATCAAATTATCAATTAAATAAACAAATCATAATTGATCATACCTAGTCGTGTGCCGTGTACCCTCCTCCTCCTCAAGTTTGCTACGTACCGATTAGGACTGTTGGCTGGTGCAAGAGCCTCAATGCAAGGAGGCTTCTTTAATTCAATTGATATTGCAATTTGGACTCCGCTTTGTATTAATGGTAGCAGGTTCTGTGGTTGAGGTTTTACAAAGGGACAAAACCACGTCGTATTAAGGAAGGTTCTCCACTTTGTATTAATGGCAGCAGGTCGTATTGCGAATTCATAGGGCAGGTTTCATCTTTCTTTATTTTTTGTTTTTTTGTTTTTTGTTTTCTCTTGTTCAGAACAAGTTGTTTGAGGTTAGAACGTCTGCAAGAAAATTCGCCAGCAGAAGTCAGTGCCTTGACTGTCAATGGAGTATACCAAACTCATCAAATCTGCCAAGAACCGAAAAGCAGCCGGATCACCAATGCGCGCACATACACATTTAACTAATCAAAGACTAAAATTTTAACATGTCCACAAATGTAATCTAAGAAAACCAACAAAATTTTGCATAGCTCTTTCCACTAAGAATTGTCTCCTCCAGTTCCCTATCCTCCCCTCCTCCATTTCCAGCAGCATTTTTCTTACTATCGACTCAACCTGCTGCGCAAAATCACTCTCATCATCTAATGAATTAGGGGCACCCTCTTAAAAATCTTCACATCATACTTCCCCAATGAAGCACTACTACTCCCTAATTTCCTCATATTTTTTCTCCGCCAGAAAAACTACCCCCTGGGTGGGCTGAAAAATGACGTGGCAGTAGACAATGGCCACATATCAAACAGAATTATTGAACATTAAATTAGACCTTGGACAAAAAAAGGCAAGAAAAAAAACATTAGACTTATTCTCATTAAATGCGGCAGAATATTTATTAGAGTTAATCTGTTTCCTAATTCTAATTGGAGACTACGAATCCGTTATCTATATAAGGAGAGAAAACCTACAATCTTCAATCTTCAATCTTGAGTCTTCTTCTGCGTTTTCTCACCAAAATTAAATACAAATAAAAACTTTTTCTTATAGTCTTGAAAGCTATGGATTCATGGGAAATAAACAAAAAGAGAAAAGCTATGGATTCGTCGGGAAAACCCAAAAAGAAAACAGCTATGGATTCAGGTATGTCTTTTCCAAGAAATTATTCTTGTTTTTCTATTAGTTATATATCTTTCTTTTAATCTAAATTTTATTTTTTCTATTTTGGAGGCGTTTTAGTTCTGGCTTAGTCTGGTTTTATCCGTTTGTCTTTTCAAATTGGGAATATTTGAGTTTGTTGAACTTTCTGTTCTTCATCTGTCTAATTCAATTTTTCCCGTTTGTCTTTTCAGATTGGGAAAATTTGCCTAAGGACCTATTAGATCTAGTTTTAGAGAGATTAGAATCGATTTCAGACTATTTGGCATTTAGTGTTGTTTGTAAGACATGGAATGGTGTAGCAAAGAATAATCGGAGCCAAAAAGTCGACACACAGCTCCAATGCTCTTAATTTCTAGTGACAAAGAAGATACATGGAACTTATATAACGTCATGAATAATAAGGTTCTTGATTTACAATTAAGACTTCCGAGTAAGCGATTCTGTGGGTCTTCAAAAGGATGGTTAATAGTTTTGGAAGAGAACTTTGTCGTGACCTTAATGAATCCATTCTCTATGGTTGACGGATGTAAAGAGAAAGAAAATTCAATCATTCGCCTTCCTCCACTAGCGCATCTTTATGAATTTAGAGAATTGGATTATCATGTGTATAAGGCTACAATTTCAGCAGACCCAATTTTAAATGCACATGATTTTATTGTTACGGTCATATTCGGATATTTTTCTAATTTGGCTGTTATCAGACCTGGTAAAGACACAGATTGGTTGTATATTAATTTTAATTTTGAGGATGATTTCGAATTCCAACAATTTCATGAAGTTGTTCACCTTGGAGATAAATTTTATGCTCCATATAATGATGATAGAATTTTAAGTTTTGATGCTCGGGATACAATTGTACCTTCTGACATTATAAGTGAATTGGAAGTAAAGTGGGGAAGCTTGACACCTATGGGAGGGTTTGGTTCACAATGCCACTCTATCAAGACATATATTATGGATTCCAATGAGAAAGGGTTTTTGATCGTGAAAAGGTATAGAAAGCAGGAAGGTATTTGTCCAAATGGGAAGGCTGTCACATTCAAATTTGAAATTTTCAAACTAAATTTTGATAAGCACGAATTGATTGAGAAAGAAACCTTGGATGATGCCGCCCTTTTTTTGGGTGATAATTCTTCCATGTTTGTTTTGGCTTCAAAATTGTCAGGATGTCAGCCCAATTGCATATACTTCACCTCAGATTATCAACGTTCAGATTGGGTACCTGAAGATTTTGGCGTGTATAACATCAAAACTCAAAGCATTTCAAAGCCTTACACGACAACTGCTATGACCCTGTTGGGGAGGACTAAGCGACCAGCAATTTGGGTTATGCCAACTTGTCGACAGTGAAAAGCTCCTTTTGTGTCGTCTTGTTTTTATTGTTAATTTGTGACTTGAATGTCTTTTTGGTTTTTGTTTTCTATTTCAAACCATTTTCTTTCGTTGAAGTTCCTTCTTGTGCTCTTAAGTATTTGCCATATATTTTGTATAATGAACACTTTTGCCATGGCCGAAGGTGGATATAGTGTTTACCATACAGTAGGATATGTATATTTTACCCCCGGGTCCAGGGCGTGACAGGCAATGGCTTGGTTAAGGGAACCCATCAAAGCCGTAGCGAAAGCAAGTCTTTTTTTATATAATTGTTTTCAATAAATAGTGTAGACTATCGGCTAGTCTTTTAAATGTGTGTGTGTGTGTGTATATATATGTACGTACATAAGTATTTTTCAGTAATACATTTGTGTTCTATATACATCTCACGTTTTTAAAAAAGCAAACGTACAATAGTCGTATTGTACATATACGTACATATTTCTAATGTTTTATATACGTATTTTTTATAAAATTTTCAGCAAGACACACAAAATTCACGTATTGTACAAATAATTGTCACATATTATAGAATAAGAATAATATATGTTATAAAAATTATATTCAAATATTATATAGTGGCCGATTAATATCTACTTTGGATATGTTGAAACTATCAAATTCATATCTATAAAGTACAAACTAATGCAACTAGAAGGGTACTTTTTTCTTATTTTCAATACCCTTTAAATATAATGTTTTTAAATAGTATAGCCGTGCGACTCTACTACAATAGGGAGTTTCACTAAAACACCCAAAATGGGGGTTGAAATTATAAAAAAACCCAAGCACTATTTAAACATATAAACACACCCAAAACTCATCATTACACACACTCAAAACTCATTTATAAACACACCCAAAAAGTTGACTTTGGGATTGATTTTGGGTGTGTTTCTATGTTTAAATAGTGCTTGGGTTTTTTTATAAATACATGTCTATAATTGGGTTTATTTATAAATTTGTATTATTGTTATTTAAAAAAATAGTATATCCGTGTGGGTATACATTTTTTGACATGCCTAATTGATAGAGGGTCCTTTTAAAAAAATAGTGCAGCCGCATACCTACACTCTGTGTCTTTAATTTTTTTATAT